AAATCTGGAGGAAATGGATAAATTTATGAACACATACAACCTACCAAGATTGAACCAAGAAGAAATGGAAAACCTGAACAGACCAGTAACAAGCAACAAGACTGAATCAGTAATCAGCACTCTCCCAACAAAGAAAAGCCCCATATCAGATGGCTTCACTGCTGAATTCTATCATTTTTAAAAGAAGAATTAAGACCAGTTCTTCTCAAACTATTGTAAAACATTGAAGCAGAGGGTGTTCTCCAAGACTCATTCTATGAGGCCAGTTTCACCCTAATACCAAAATCAGACAAAGACACAACAATAAAAAGAAAACTACAGGCCAATATCCCTGATGAACATAGAAGCAAAAATTTTCAACAAAATACTAGCAAACAGAATTCAACAGCACATCAAAACCATTATACACTATGATGAAGTGGGGTTTATCCCAGGGATGTAAGGATGGTCTAACATAAGCAAATCAATAAAAGCAATATGCCACATCAACAAAATCAAGGACAAAAATCATATGATCATCTCAATACATGCATAAAAACATTTGATAAAATTCAACATCCCTTCATGATAAAAACTCTCAACAAATTAGTTATAGAAGGAAAGTATCTCAACATTATAAAGGCAATATATGACAAACCCATAGCTAACATAATAATGAATAGGGAAAAATGGAATGCTTTTCCTTTAAAAACAGGAACAAGACAAGGATGTCCACTCTTACCACTCCTGTTTAACATAGTACTGATAGTTCTAGCCAGACCAATTAGGCAAGAGAAAAATAAAGGACATCCAAATTGGAAAAGAAGAAGTCAAATTTGTCCCTGTTTGCAGATGATATGATCTTATATATAGAAAAACCTAAAGATTCCACCAAAATACTCTTATAACTGATAAACAAATTCAGTAAAGTTGTAGGATATGAAATCAATATACAAAAATTAGTAGCATTTCGGTACACCAACAATGAACTAGCAGAAAAAGAAATCCTGAAAGCAATTAATTTATAATAGCTACCAAAAAATAAAATATCTAGGGGCCGGCCCGGTGGCGCACTGCTACAGTGTGCTGCTTGGGAGNTTGCCGGTCCTGGTCCGGTACGGGCGCAACACTGAGGGTTGCGATCCATTGCCGGTCATGACAAAAGACAAAAAAAGGAAAAAAAAATAAAAATTAAAAAATTAAAAAATAAATAAATAAAATATCTAGGAATAAATTTAATCGAGCTGAAAAATCTCTACAATGAAAACTATACATCACTGATGAAAGAAATTAAAGAGGACATAAAAAAGGGAAGGACATTTTATGTTCATGAATTAGAAGAATTAATATTGTCGAGATGCCCATAGTACTCAAAATGATCTACAGATTCAATGCAATCTCTATCAAAATGCCAATGACACTTTTCACAGAAATAGAAAAAACAATCCTAAAATTCATATGAAACCACAAAAGACCCTGAATAGCAAACGAAATCCTGAACAAAAAGAACAAAGCTAGTGGCATTACACTATCTGACTTCAAAATATACTACAAAGCATTAGTAACCAAAACAATATAGTACTGACATAAAAACAGACACATGGACCAGTGGAACAGAATAGAGAGCCCAGAAATAAATCCACTTATTTACAGTGAGCTGATCTTTGACAAAGGTGCTGAGGTCATGCAGTGGGGAAAGGACAGCCTCTTCAATAAATGGTGCTGAGAAAACTGGATAGCCATTTGCAGAAGAATGAAAGTAGTCCCCTATCTCTCACCACTTACCAAAATCAACTCAAAATGGATTAAAAACTTAAGTGTAAGATGTGAAACTATAAAAATACTAGAAGAAAACATAGGGGAAACACTCCAAGGTATTGGTCTTTGCCCTCCCTGATGTGATGGGCAAAACTTTTATGGAGAAGCACGGGCAACAAAAGCAATAATAGACAAATGGGATTTCAAACTGAAAAACTTCTGCACAGCAAAAGAAATGATCAACAGAGTTAAGAGGCGACTAGCAGAATGGGAGAACACATTTGCATAGTATGCATCCAACAAGGGATTAATATCCAGAATATAAAAGGAATTTAAACAACAGAAAAAAATGATTATAAAATGGGCAAGCAACTTGCATAGACATTTCTCCAAAGAAGACACACAAATGTCCAACAGGTGTATGAAAAAATGCTCAACATCACTAATTGTCAGGGTAATGTAAGTCAGAACCACAATGAAATACCATCTCACC